TCCACGCTTCAAGTGGTCGTCATCACTTCATGATGCAGATGCAGTCAAACCAGCCAAACTCCCAAGAAACCCCTCTCCACCAAAGCAAATGAGACTCGTAATGTGTCTGTGTACCATGCTTCTGTCTAAATGCTCAAAGAGGATTCTGTCGTGTCATAAAGGTCCCCAGGTTTATCTGCCCCGCCTCCTCCGGTCGTCTGGTCCAAACAACCCATCCAAGAAATTCCCAAACACCTTGCCTGCTGCTCCCTTTCCAGAAAGGATCTCGTTCAGCCGTTCCGCAAGGGGATCCTCGCCAGGCTCGGGTTTCTTGCGCCCCTTCTCGTCGAACCTAGGAGGTAGTTCGATCGTGGCATCAGAATCAGTGGGACTCGTTACACGCTCGAGTCTTGAGCCTCGGTAACCTGAGCTGGGTTCACCTCGAGATGAACTCGGTTCAGAAGAGCGACGACGCCGGTGATGTCGTCGTCGATCGCCACCATCGGCCGAGTCTGGGTCGAGTGATTGAGACGAATGTTCTCGCCTTCTTCGACGTTGCTCGTCGGGAGTGGAATCTGTGTCGTCTTCCGCTTCATACCCGCGAGAGTGCGAATGCTTGTGTCTATGGCGGTGACGTTCGGGACTTGATGCTTCCGATTCCACGGGTACAGCATCAGAAACCTCAGGCGTCTCGACAAACTGCACGCTTTTCCGACTTGATGGAGCCGGCTGGGATTGCGAGCGTGGAGGAGATACACCTCGTCCACTTGGAGGAGAATAGGTTCCCTGACGCGGGGGATTGGGAGCCGGTGGCGGAGGATTGATTGGAGCATTAGGGGAAGGGTCGTGCGTACTAGAGAACGGTGGAGGCGGAGTCGGTACGGAACGATTTAGACCTAATTTCCCAAGAATGTCAGCCACGAGAAACTGCCCGATCCGAGAAGTGCTTGCAAAAGGTACATGACAATGACGTACCATCTGGGACATGGCTCTGGTCATTACTGGGAAAAGTAGGTGCAACAGAATTGCCAAATATAGGATTCGGCTCAGCACTCACATTTTCAGGACCACGTGGTGCGTAGGGGTTTGCACCAGAGGCATAGGCATCGTATGGTTGCGCAGGAGCTGGCGGAGCACCAGGAGGAGGTGGGGGAGGAGGGTAGGCCTGTGCGGGATACGGGGCAGCACCAGGTGGAGCTGTACCAGGGCCGGCTTGCGGGGGATACGGTTGAGGCACAGCTCCTGGTGGAGGCGGGAATTGACTGCTTTGCGGATAGAACCCTTGTTGACTTGCATACGGATCGTTGACGGGTCCAGGAGGTGGTGGCGTCGGGGCATACTGTGCTCCGGGATTATAGTTGTCCTCGTAAGGATCACGACCGTAGCCTTCCTCTTCTCGACCTAAGCTCGTGTCAGCATTTCATCTCTCGGGGTCCAGAGACACTTACGCCTTCGTGCGCGACGTTCGCGTCTCTCTTGCTTCCTCTTTTCATACTCGGTCGCTCCAATCGCCCCTGCAGCGGCAGCTGCTGTCATCTTTGCGGCATCGCGCGAATGTCGGCGTCGGCTGCGGTCTGGGGAAGAACTTGAACTGCGAGACGACCTTCGACCACCTCGTTCGCGACTCAGACTCCGGCTTCTACTTCTGGTCCCTCGTTGGGCCCCGTAACCTGCTGCTGCACCTGTGGCAGCCGGCACAACAGCATTCGAGTAGTATCCATCTGGTGGTGGCGGTCTCCCATAGTAATCTGGGCCGAAATTGTTGCCATACATGGGTGCGTTTCCGTATTCAATTAGCCCCGGATCAGTCATTGCAGCTTGTGCGGGCCCATCGTAGTACGCGTGCTCAGATCTTGCCCGGCTTCTGGATCGTGAGCGAGCCCGACGCCGCTCGTCCACAATCTCTTCGGCTTCTTTCTTCGCTTTATGTTTTTCATATAACCCGGCAACAGCAGCACTACCAAGTCCAGCAGCGACGACTGGGAGTGCCTGTCTGATGCGGCTCCGGGACCGTTCCTTGCCGTCCCTAGCCCGAGACTTGCTTCTAGCATGCTCAATCAATGCCGCAACGATGGCACCGCCTGCACCAGCCTTTGCAATCGTGTTTCGGCGGTGCTTGGGATTGCGGGCATCGTCAGTCGGCGCATCGGGATCATCTTCGAGACTCGAAACAGACTCCCTCCGGCGTCGAGAGCGCGATCGGCTGCGGCCACGGTCACCCTCGTCTTTGGACTTGTTCATGCGCTTGGAGGCAATAGTTGCGGCAGCTGCGAGTGCAGCCGCCCCGAGACCCACCGCCCCAAGAGTCTTGAGTTTCGACGGCGACGAGGAACGAGACCTGCTTCGACGTCGAGAACGTCCTGGCGACCTTGACCCAGATCGGGAATGGTGCCGGCTTTTGCTGCGGTGCATTGACCTGGCACGGTGGATACCTTCGGCAGTAAGAGCGCCCAAAGCGCCAGCCCCAAGGTCGCGTCCCATCCGACCGATACCATGGGGGACATCACGGCCTTCTTTCTTTTTGTGATTTCGAAGAAGCTCTGCAGCACCGACGCCCGCGAGGACACCGGCAGCAAGGCCTCGTTTACGGTCAGGGCTAGGGCTTTCTTCACGGGTTTCTTTGCGGACATAGACCATGCTGTCGTCACTGCTGTAATCGCGGCCTCTTTGGGAGACCGAATCATGAGGACTCACAGACCGGCGTCGACTCCGACGCTCATAGTAGTCGTCGTCATCGCGACGGTCGTCAATGCGCTCCCTGATCTTTTTCTCGTAGAAGTAGTCCTCTTCTCCGCGAGGCGAGCGAGGCGGCGGGTCTCGGCGGACGATGCTACGTTCTTCGTCGATGTCCGCCTTGCGGACAATTTGATAGTCGTCATCGTGGACTCTCTCTCGAATAATGATGGGCTCCTGACGAATGATGATGGTCTGCGGAGGTGGTGGAGGAGAAAAATAGTCGGTGGTACGGGTATATCGTTGCACATCACGATCGTCGTACCCTCGCGGTGACAGCACCTCATAGTCGTCTCGAAAGCGGGTGTCGACAACCTTGCGGTCCTCGTACCGAGTCACATCGAAATCACTCCGATGAGGATCATCGCGTTCAGTTGTGCGTCTAATGACGAGCTCCCTCTCTGTGACAGGTTCTTCCCGTCGTGTGTCGTAGACATAGTCTCTGCGAGGCTCATCGTCTCTTTCGCGCTTGATAACCAATTCACGCTCTGTGTAGCGGGGTTCTTCGCGACGCACAGGCTCTTCGACCTCACGCCGAACGAACCGAGTCTCCTCGAGCCTTTCGCCTGCACGTTCGGGGACAAACCGCCGCTCTCGGCCCACAGAGGAGCGGCTGTCATCTTCTTTCACCACATAGCGCTTCACAGTTGTGTATCCGCCATCGCGTCGGCTGGACGAGACCGATGTTCGGGAGTCGTCGAACTTCTCACGGTACACAGAGCCCATTTTGGGGCCTGGAGAGGGGAGTAGCAGTAGTTGCAGCCGTCCAAATCAGTCCAAGTGTAATTAGAAGGATATATCACATGCACGGTTTGTCAGAGTTGCGCGGGGTTGAGGAAAGATGTGGATTTGTTTTCGCAGACGGTTTTCAGGAGTGTTCTCGAGACGTTGAAAAAGGTGCCCAGAAATGAAGAGGAAGAAGTGAAACAAATGCAGAAGGCAGAGACGAAAGGCAAGAAGAGGATGAGCGTTCGAGTTGAGCTGGCAGCAGGTGACAATTCACACCCAAGCTGGAAGGATCAGATGGTGCATGCAACCGGACTGCGGGCGGTCAAGACGGGAGACGGACGAGCCGGACCTCCCAAGGTTGTGCGCGTGTCCCGAGATTTAATCTTATCCCCTTTGTGTTTGTGTGTGGGCGCTGGAAGGGCCTCTTGGAGAAAGCAAGGCCAACTGCGCACAGAACGCCGAGAAGTCTGAACGATACTGGCTGGATAGGTGGGCATAAAAGCAGGCTTGGACAACTTTAACGGTCATGCAGAGAGTCGACTTGGGGGGCGTAGCGGCGAATAGAGGAGGGGTGGCGGGAGGGGATGGAGGAGTCGAAGGAGATAGAGGGGGTGGTAGAAGAGACGAAAAGAGAGGAACAGAAGGTGGAAGAAGGCCCATGTGGCCCATCTGGTCTTTAGGGACTCAACTAAATTGAAACAGCAACCAGCCATCCAGTCAGTTCAGTCAGTCAGCCAGACAACCAACCAACCAGCCTCTGCTGCTTAATGGCCGTTGAGAGAAATAATAACAGACCAAGTCACAAAGCCGGAGGCAGCGTGACGTACATTGCATACGGCGCCCAACCCCCCCCATTGGTGCCCCACCAGCGCCTTGCCAGCGCTCGCCCACCTGGGCAGTTGTTTGTTTTCGCTAGTCCCGTGTGACAAACATTTATCATACATGTCTGACACGTTCAATTAATGGACAACAAGCTGCCAACTCCGCCGTGTCATCTTGTAAATAAGTTTGTAATGACAACAATCAGCCCGCAACTGCCAGAATGTCAGGACAACAAGCCTCAATAGATACGCCCAGTCATTTTGCAGCCCGATGTCTCCCAAGAAAACCCAACAGGGCTGCGGCCCAACAAGCAAGGAGAAACCGGTCAGAGAGAGAAAAGTACCTGACATATTCTATGGGGAACTTTTGATTTGGGCTTTTGGTTGCCCTCTCTGCTGAGGCTCCACGGCAATTAAATGCCCTATATAACAAGAGAAAAAAGAGGCCGTCACCAAGGAGAACAACATGCAACTGACGGTTGCCCTGACACAAGGCTGAATGCCTTTTCCACCCAGTTCTCCATTATTTGCCTTCACGCCCCTGCGCTGATGCGCTGGTTTTCTTCGCCGACCATTGTATAGCCAAGTATAAGCTTGCAATCCCAATGCTTTTCTCTTTCCCGGACACAGTCCTTTGGGTATCTCGGTCGTTAGATGCCCACCCACAATAGGCGGGTCTTGTTCATGCACAAATGAAATTCGTCCCAATCATAACTCCCAATATCTTCTCAAAACGTCTTAAGCCTTTGGTTTGGTTGGAGACCCGTCCGAGTCATCTCCAGATTTGTCGTCGTTGGGTAACACCTTAACTCGACTGCCAATCTTGGCGGATCTGGTTTTGGAGCTCAAAGGAAGCTGGTACTTGATGACGCCTCTAACAATAAGATCAAAGGGGTGTTGAAGCACTCTCTCCCAACGTGCACTGCCCCCGACTTCAGTCTTGTTGCCGGGTCTCGCAAGTCGAATCTCACCAACCGACGAAGTGTGGCTGTGTCGAACGGGAGACGCATCAAAGACTAACGGTGAATCGAAGACGAGAACCCTTCCCAGCAGCATTTTCTGTGTGCCTGACTCAGGGTCGTCAATTGGATCGGTCCCTTCGTCCACTCCATCGTCCGAATGCCACGGCGGCCAGTCGAAACCCTGGGTATCTGGCTGCTCTCGCTGAACCCATCGGAGCGCTCTTCTCTGGCCAGGCAAGTCCCAATTGGAGGTGGTGCCCACATAAGGGCTCTCGGCAAAGATGTTAACATCCAGGTCATTTACCGAGATCGGGAAAAGATTCGTGTTGATAGCCAACACGTCCAGATCGAGCATGAGCTCCTGCTCCGATGCAAGCACATTCTGAATATGCTTGATGGAAACATCCATGAGCGGCCGATTGAGGGCCATCACAAACGTGGTGATGCCAACACAGACCAAGAGAATAACAAGACCCAGCAGAATACAACCGCTATATCCGCCACACCAACTCCGGTCAGGGACATCGTTGTATTCGAAGTGCCGGAGACTGGAGCTATGCGGGCGACGGCTGTGTCGCGTTCGGTTAATGCGGACCGATCCAAGTAGTGGTGCCCTCTCGTCGTCAGCGACGGCATCCTCATAGGAATCAAAGGGTTCGCCTTTGCGCAAGATGCCTGGCACCCGTCCATTGGAGGTCCGGGGGCTATTTGGTCGAGAAAATCGCGAGGGATTGTTGGTCGTCGAGCGGGAGGGATTTGTCTTGTTTGCCTGAGTGAAAGGTGACTCCGTATCCAGGATGGAGGTGTGGTGGGGCCGTCCATGCCGACTGATGTGGTGATGACGGGGCGTTGAACTCGAGTTACGTTGGCTTCCCCGTCCTTCTGGCCCAGACTCACCATCCAGGAGATTGTTGTAGGTGCTGCTCGAAAACTTCATGCTCTTCTTCCCAGTTATCGCTTGACTGCCGGTACGGAGACCGTGTTTATTGCGGTTCCCAAATTGTTCTTGGCTGGCCAGAGATGTGGCACTGGGTGTTCGAGAATGATGCCGTGAGGGCCTGTTGTCTGGTGGGTTCGACTCGTAAACGAAAGTCTCATCTGAATCGGAGGAATCAGCTTCATCCACCGCACTAGCGACCTTGGCCTCGAACAGGTCGGCTTTGGAAGTGACTGTGCCAGCATGAAGCGAAGGAGCCTTGCGAGATTTCTTCTTCTCCTTTTTCGGCCGGATGGTTTCGGTGCTCGGTTTGGTCCTTACACTACCGTTACCATCCCTGCCCGAAGCACCTCGGTCCGGGCCCAGCAATTGAGGCATGGACGTAACAGTCTCCGTCTCAACGGTCATGGTCCGTGGGGGGTCGCCAGTAGGTTTAGGTTTGGCGCCTGTGAGGCTGGTGAAGGAGCGCTTTGCTAAATCTGAAGCCGGTCGGGAACTGCTTGGAGCCCTTGACCTCCGACCGCTTTCTGTTTTGGCGACAGTGACTTTCGAAGGGCCATCCCCACCACTACCTTCACCATCTCTAACGACTGGTGGATCAGCTCGCGGCTCAGGTCTCTGGTCAAGAGATGCGACCTCCACCTTTGGCTCCAACGATGAAGTCGAAATCGGACCGATTGCAGGTGTCGTGGGGGCGCTGTTTTCCGCCACCGTCTCAAGGGTAGTACTTGGTCCTCGACCTGATACTCTCGAGCTGGAATGAGTGCCATTTGGTTCGTGAGTGTCAGGTATCTGCATGGCGGCGGCTTGGTCAGGGTGAGAGACAGGTGCCAATCTTTTCAGCGAAGTATTTGATGGCGTCTGGTCTGAATCACTACGTTTCGTTGACGGGGGCCTTGTGCCAGTCTTCGAAGGCGGCGGGGACTTCAGTCGGGGCGACGTGGGCCATGACGGCGGGGTTTGACCTGCTTTCATTTGTCGTTCAGAGGGACGTCCGCCCTCGAGCACCGAATCAACACTAGGAGGTGGTAAATTAGGCCTCTGCGCAGACAGGGCTCGCTGGACAGCAGCCGCTGAAGGCACAGTTGATAGGTATCCGGCTGAACCACTGTTCCGTGTCGGACTAAATTCCTGGCTTCCCTTGCGCGACCGCGAAAGTTGAGGGATGCTGGACACACTGCGAGAATTGCGCGCCGGAGATGTCTCGCGAGATGTTTTGGATTGCTCAAGTTGGCCAGGTCCCAATGCCGGAATGTTTTCTGACGGCGCCTCTGACATGATTTGAATGATGTATTTGTTTGTTCTTTGCCGTAACACCTCCCCCCTAACTGCGACGTTCCTAAAGGGTTTACTCGACGACTCGAGTCTGCGGGTTCATCGCGGCTAGACTGCCCAGGATCAGGAGGGGATGAATTGATTAATGAGACCGTGGTAGAGGTTGACACTTGTCGGAAAGGTGTAAAGGAATTCGCAGGGTGAGGGATAGTCAAAGTGAGCAGATCGTACGATGATCGTTCGACTGCTATGCTGGACGATTCATTGGGGAGGAATGGGCGAGAAACCCGAGCAGAGTTAAACCGTCTTGCTGACGGGACACAACAACGAATCCGAGTCGGGATTCGGGGGCAACGGCGGAATGGCGAGGCGGGTTTTGCTGGGGGAATAGATTGCGTGAGGTTCTAAGAGTTGGGAGGATGTAAATGGTGGTTAGAAACAGGGGAAAGAAAGAATAATGGGGATCGTAGGCCGCTGCAATAATGGACCAAACAGCAACGTAATGGTGAATGGGCAAATGGCGGATGGGAAAGGGAACGGGGAAGCGGTTACGAGTGGGCTTGCATCTGCACAGCGTCATCTTTGGGCCTTGCTACTGGGATGCAGCCTGCGCGCCCACCGTTGTCCAGATGTGGCTTCAATTGGTGGCTGACCCCCCCATCCGCAGAGTTTTGGGCTTGGTCTAGGCTTCTAGGCTCCTAGGCTCCGTGGCTCCCTCGGGGCTGCTGCACGGCTCTTCCTCAAACGTGGCATTTTCTGCTGGCGAGTTTTGCCTGGGTGCCTCCCGCTGCAGCCTCTGCCCTAGCGAAGGCTTGGATTTCGCACCATCGGCCTCACCATCATCGTCGCCACCACCACCGTCCCAGCACCACACCCACACACTGACCATCAGCCTCGGAACTGGCTACTTTGGTCCAACCACATCTCTCGACCCTCAGTTTTGCATCCACCACCTCCTACGGACCTGGCCTCCGGTACCTGTTGTGCCTGACCTGATGATTCTTCCGATCGCTTAAAACACGTTTTTTTTTCATTGACAGAAAAAAGACTTCCGACCAGGCAACGCCCCGTGAACAGCACCCGCGGTTATGGCTTCTCAGAGTCACCTGCCCTACAGCCAGCGTGCTCAAAGACACCCGCATCCTCTCGTCCGGCGACTGTTTGAGATAGCCGAACGGAAAAAGACCAACGTTGTGCTGTCGGCAGACCTGACTACGACCGAGGAACTCTTGGCCATTGCTGACAGTAAGTGGATTGATCGATTCTCTGGACTCTGTATCCCACAACCCAAATTTGTCCTGCGGGCGAGATCTCAACGGTAGACACTGATTAAAGACACGTCCTAACTCTGTCGTTTTGTCTCGTAGGTCTTGGTCCCCATATTGCTGTTCTCAAAACGCACATCGACATTGTCTCAGACTTCGGCCCTGCTACAGTTGAAGGACTGGCCCAATTGGCGCAACGTCACGACTTTCTTCTGTTTGAGGACAGAAAGTTCGTTGACATTGGCAACACCGTCCAGAAGCAATATAGAGGAGGAGCGCTGCGGATCCACGAATGGGCCCATATCGTCAACGCTACGATGCTTCCTGGCGAGGGGATCATTCAGGCACTGGACCAATCCATCCGTGATGGTGGGATACGTGAACGAGGCATTCTAATTCTGGCCGAAATGACCTCAAAGGGGTCGCTGGCAGTGGGCGAGTACACTCGAATATCGGTCGAGATTGCAAGAAAATACCCCCAAAGTGTCCTGGGCTTCGTGTCAACGAGGGAGTTATCCAGCCACTGCGCCGGCGCCACGCGGGATGAAGATTTCGTAGTGTTCACCACGGGTGTCAACATGTCCAGTAAAGGAGATGCGCTAGGTCAGCAATATCAAACGCCTACAACAGCAATGGAGGGGGGGTCAGATTTTCTTATCGCCGGTAGAGGGATCTATGCTGCAACTGATCCGGTGAGTGCAGTCAAAGAGTATCAGCACGCGGGCTGGGAGGCATATGAGCGTCGCGTAGGCTCAGCCAGTGGGTAAGCAAACGAGTAAGCACGCTGGCAGGTTGGGCATCAATATGCCACCATCGGCAGAATGCACGACTCGACAGTTGCAACGTGGGCCTCTCAAATCAAAGTGGACATCTCGCCAGGGAACCGAATCTGGCATTGAAATAGGTAAGGGTCCTGCAAGGGTCTGGGGGAGCATCATTTTTGGTGCTCGGACGTTGGCTGAGGGGCCAGAGATGAATCCATCAGGAGGGATGAACGCATAATTGTTATTGCAAGGCTACCTACCACCAAACTCTCCGTACTTGTACTTGTATGTAGACCATTCACTCGGACCGTTGACAGACCCCTTCGGACCCCACCGCAACGCTATTCAGGGTATTGTTTTCCCTTCCTTCCACCTCGTAGACTCCGCAGGCTGAGGATCGGGAGGCATAAGCTTCAGCTCTCGCTGAAAGTATCGCGGACCTGGGGCTGCACATGAGGGGGCAGTGTCTCGTCACGACCCAAGAATCCCTAGGGGTTATCTTCTCCAATGTTGCACAAGGGTAGAAATTGCACGGCTGTAGGGAGCAAAATGATTTCGCGTAGAGGCCAGAAACAAATTGCTCAGAGACCAAAGCAGAAGACGGGGGTGGAGGGCTCTGAGGGAAGTCAGCTGCCCTGTTTGCCTGCCTGCCTTTCTCCCAGATCCCAGATTGTCGCACTGAGGATGACGATCCATGGCGGCGACAGTGGAGCCTAGGCGCTAGTCCGGTTTGGGTCTTTGTTTATCCTTGGCACACGCCTCCCACCGCCTGGCACCTAGGACGCGTCTTGCGCCTGGTACCCACGAAAAAAAAGCGTGTCATGGCCTTTGAGTCTTCTGTCCAAAGAAATGACCCGAAACTCGACCACGACATATCTTGCGATTCGTCCACTTACAACGCGCTCTCAGCGCCTTTCATTGCAACTCTCTTACTTGCTTCCCAGCCGATCCGCGATTGGCACAACTTCCTTCCCAAGTCCTCGTCGCCACAAACATTAGTCGTCATCAGCGCCTGCTTCCCCTTGTGCAGCGCACGCGATCGCTTCGAGAATCTGAACCCTGAGAGGACAAATACACCACCGTTTGCGACCCGACCTCCCCGGCGACCAGAGAGGGATCAGCGAGCATCCTGTCTCCTCTATCTACGTCAAATAGTCAGCATCCAACTCTTGCCGACTCCCTCCTCTCTAGCTTCACTTCATCTCAACCTCTGACACTTTGTCCCCCCTTCATATCGCATTGACAGACATCCGCACCTCTCATCCTCATCCGAACTTGTCCTACCGCCCTCACTGTCCTGTTGAGCGAGATCATTTTATCAGACCTGCGCTGAAGATCGCTCTACGGGACAATATCTCGTCCTGCGCCAGAATATCCTATCTTTTCCAATTCCGCTACAACCGGCACCGACACATGCCACGACCCATTCGTTGATATGCGAGGCCATCGGTAGATCCACCCAGGGTCCGTCAACAACTTCTGGACAAGTTGCCTGCACCATAAGATTTGGGTCAAAGGAGTGCTGTCTGAGTGCTGTCCCGTTGAAACCTACAAGTTCATGGCAGACTCCTGGGAAGAGAATCAGTTTATAGTGCTGCGTTGAACCAGAGTGACTCCCGGCCAGCCATGATGGCCACATACTCTCCTCATCGTGAGGAGCACTCACCGAAGAGTGCCTTCTCACACTTCGACCCCCATTCTGCCATACGCGAGATACGCCGTTCACTATCTCGCTCACCTTCGAAAGGCTCAGAGTTTCGTCAACAGTCACTCCGATCCCCCGGACCTAGCAAATTACCATTCTCGCCTTCTCCGCTTTCACCATCGAGAATCGCGACCTCTGACAATTTTCTACATCTGGGTGGTATGAGCTCTCATCCGAATCGAAGTGCTTCGGCCCCGCGTTTCCCACGTCCTCCCCTTCGACGAACAAATCAATCTCATGGGGTGTCTCGCCTCCGCACTTCGCCTAGGAGTCCTACGAAACGGATCCTGACGGATGCCAGCGACAGTGGGAACTCATCCCCCATGCCACTTCGCAAGAGGACTTCGGCAGAGGCAGAGCGCGAACTGGCTTTGAAAAGTTTGACCGCTGGCGAGGAAAAGGAAAACGATAAATCCGTGAATGAACCCCTCAGCTGGAAGAGTGTTCATACTCGCCAGGAGAAAAGACGAAGTGGTGGGATGTTGATCACAGCCGTTGCTCCTTTAAGTCCTATGAAAAGATCAGACGGCCCAAGGTCCGACGAAACACCAGGCTGCGAGAGTCCTTCAGCCAAGAGGAGAAGTCTCCACGGGCCAGGCCTCGATTTCAGCATATTCGAGTCTGATAGTTCGGAAAGTGGAATGTTCGGTGACAAACGAGCGCAAGACGACAACGACTGGTTTCTAAACAACTCTTTCTTATCATCATCACGATTTTCAACGATTCCGAAGCGGTCCTCGTCTTTACGGAAGTCGACTATCCAGCAGAGACAGATCGACCGATCGAGCAATTTGAAATTCCAAAATGCCACGGAGGGGGACAAGTCTTGGTTAGACTTCACTCCAATAGCAAACCCCAAAAAGGAAATGCGCATGTCTCTGGATAACCACATGAATCCATTCCCAGGCGATAGTCCATTCCCAAGTTCAGGGAATCTCCTGAGCGCATCGATCCATCCGATGACTACCATGCAAACCGGCTCGTCCTATCAGCCTCGACATCCCCTTTCCCGCACCATGACCCAATCGTCATCTCAGCCTGATGAGCAAGACGATTCGCCTACGCATGAACCGATGCACCGCCCAAGCAGACCTCGTTCTCATGATTTCTCGAAATCCTTGCCGGTTGGCTCTTCTAGGCCAGTTCCATCTTCTGAAGACAATGAATTCTCCTCCCAAACCTCTTTCGCTACCCCAGGCAATTACAAATCTGCCAAACCCTTGCCAGCTGCTTTCATGTCGACTGGTCTCATCTCGAAGAAGAACCGCAATGTGGACGACCCGAATGCGGGCCTACCCAAAGCCCATATGCCAGATACGCCCTGCAAGAAACAGCCAGCCATCTTTCAGAACGAGGAGAAATTCGCAAAGAGTGCTGTCAATAGGATCTCTCGACAATCTTTCGGTGTCCCCCCCAGTCCCCTCGAGGGGAGCCACGGTCCTTCCAAGGTGTCGGCCTTTCCATTCTCCAAAAGTGTTGGCATATTTGGACGTCGACCCAGTCGACACAATCTGCTTCGAGATGGAAGTTTTGCATCCATCGACCCCGAAGAGAAAGCGAACGGTCGCTCCCCACTAAGTCGGGCAAACAGCCAGTCAACCGACTCTGATTATCCCCCTACACCTACCAAACATTTGACAGAGCTTCACGATCGGAGTTCAGTTTCTCCATCACCACACCAACCGGCCTTGTCCACCAATCGAGTAATCGCTCCTCCTACCCATGTAACTCGTTTGTCAAGCAGTAAGTTGTCTCCTATTATAGCATCGCCAGGATGCGTCGACCTGGACAGTGACAGCGTGATGGAAGATTCCCCATCCGCCAACCTGAGACCAAAGTCGGCGCTGACTGTCATCACCCTCCCGGATCCCGCTCTTTCCCAAGGTCGGACTTCGAAAGGTCTCAGATATCCTCTCTCAACGAGAAGGACGATCTCGATTCCGACAATCCCTCCCCCTGCTTTGGAACGTGCTAAGAGAACATCTGTGCCACCAGTCAGCCCAAGGATTGAAAAGACAGATCGCGGATCTCCTCACACGCCTCTCGACAGCTTCTTTCCTCCCGACCCAAGTGGCCTAACCATTTCAGGACGCGCTGAACGTCCGCCAACGAGGCAGAACAACATGGCACCTATCATTCCAGCAACACCGACTGGCCCACGAGAATACTTTACGAATTTCTCTAACCGTCCAAGCTTGAACCTCGCCTCATCAGACGCCACGAACATCGACAGTAGCTTGACGTCAAGGTTTGACAAGGTTGATCTTATTGGCTCTGGGGAGTTCTCGCAAGTCTATCGAGTCTCGCAACCCCCGGAGACATCGCCATTCCATAAGATCTATTCCGTGTCGACCAGCCGTCCATCCTCGAGAAATTCTGTCCCCGAAAAGATTTGGGCTGTGAAGAGATCCCGGTATCCTTATGCTGGTGCTCGAGATCGCCAGAGAAAAATCCACGAGGTGGATGTGCTCAAAGCCTTGGGTCATTCTGATCACATTGTGACTTTCGTCGACAGCTGGGAAGGAAATGGCCATCTGTACATTCAGACAGAATTCTGCGAAGAGGGTACGCTTGACGTCTTCCTTGCACAGGTTGGCCTGAAAGCGAGGTTAGACGATTTCCGCATCTGGAAGATCCTTCTTGAGCTGTCAATAGTAAGTGTGGAGAACCCCATCACTCTCGTCCAACCTAACAGCGACCAGGGTCTAAAACACATACACGACTCGGGATTCATCCATCTCGACCTCAAGCCTGCGAACATCCTCATCACATTTGAGGGCGTTCTCAAGATTGCGGACTTCGGTATGGCAACCCGCTGGCCAGCAAAGGCTGGCATCGAAGGCGAAGGAGACCGCGAGTACATCGGACCAGAGATTCTGATGGGTCGATACGATAAACCTGCTGACATATTCGCACTTGGTCTGATCATGCTGGAGACGGCTGGAAATGTCGAACTCCCAGACAATGGGGTATCCTGGCAGAAGCTGCGAAATGGTGATATGAGCGATGTTCCAAGCTTGACATGGAGTTCTGGAACGAGCGGGATTCTAAGGGACTCGTCCGGTAACCCTATTTCTAGAGAGAGTTCCTTTCAATTCCGCCCGGACAGCGACCAGCACGATGTGGAAGTGATGGACGGTGATGATTTCGAGCCGACTGTTGCTCGGCCTCACCAAAAGCCCTCACGGTTTGAGCGAAGCGGCGAACTGGTCGATCCACCTCAGTTTATGGTTGATCCCTCACACGAACAAGCTCTCGACCGAATCGTGCGCTGGATGATATCTCCAGACCCAAGCGACCGTCCTATTGCCGACGAGCTGCTCAACATCGAAGGCGTGAGGTGGGCGGAAACGAGGCGGCGTGCAGGAGCGACCGTCTTTGAAGGTAATTGGGGACCTGCCGATGAGGTTCTCGCTGAAGATGCGGAAATGATCGACGTGTAAAGCCATCTACTTAACCAGGTGAATTCTGAACCCTGGATAACCAAACACGATTCGTTTTGGACACGCGAGGGCTTCTCGGGGAAGTTATTTGAGACAGACAGAGGATGCATTGTTTCTGGTGGATTTCTGTTCTTTTTGTTACGATCGAAACGACATTCCAGCAATTACCCCAGCATGTTGTTATGGTTTAGAGACCAGTTTTCGATCGTTTTGTACACCAGAGCAGGCAAGCAGGATTTGGTTGGTATCGGACCGGTATGGAGTGTTTTGTCATCTGACACAAGGTTTTGATTTCGACTTCGACATGGACATGGACATCATGTCGACCACGATCATTCGCCAGGCAAGGACTATTAGCCCTAGGGTTTAAGGGAAAAGGGGGACGGGGACGGATTCTTCGAATACTTTTTCTGGTTTTGGGAAGAAATGATATGGAACTCGGGAAGGAGGCTCGACAACTGCCGAAACAGACAGAGGATGGCATGTTGAGGGACATCAGACGGAAAGACAGCAACGTGCTGCTTATTTTTGCCACTCGTCGCCGAGAATTAGCAGTCATTGTGGGAATAGGACATTGAAATGGCCACACAATAGATAGCAGAGCTGCAGGAAGTATTCCTTAAGTATACAACTGCCAGCATATCCAAAATGGAAAAAAAGTTGAATGATCACATGGTCCCTAAGGAAGAAGAAAAGTGAGATGGCAATTCAAGCCAGAAATTTCGTCCTTGTGGTTTGCCAGAAGAGAAAATAAGCAGAGGGAACGAGGGATAAACCACCGGACAGGTGAAATGATATAGACTGGGAGAGACTCTGCCAAGGAAACTATAGCGCCGCACGGAGGAAGGACTTGGAAGGGGAAACTCGAGTGATGGTTAATGCCTCATAGGGTACCTAGATAAGTAAAGGTACATGCAGTAGATAATTACATACACACATACATAGATGCAGACCAGCAACCAGCAAATAACAACCAGGTCCCATTACAGTGGTCCGCCCGCCGGCCTGCGAGACACGGATACTTCCTAAAAAATGCCTGCCTGACTCGTCTCAGATTTCGCCATGAGGGATATATATGCTTCGCAAACAAAACCAAAAAAAAAGGGAGCAAAAGATGTGTCCTGCAAGGGAGTGGGTGAGTGTTGGAGTATTGGAGTCGGTCCTCATACATCTTCTCTCAAGGTTGATCGGCGAAGAGTTCGCATCAGGTCAATATCGGTGTCTTCCGCCTTGTGAGTGTCTATCTGCACAAGGAGACGGGAGAAAAGACTGAAGTGGAGAGGAAGAGGTGGTTCAGCCCTTCTTCTCGTCGGCGGCGCCGTGGCTCAGGATCTTTCTCCGTTCCTCGGGTTTGAGTTGTCCGTTGATGTCCTTGGGCATTTGCACCATCCAGTTCGGTGGCGTCATGCCGGTTTGTTCCTGGATCGTGGTGAGCAGTGGAGGCAGGGACTGCATGATGTTCTTGATCGGCGCGATGCCTTGTTCCATGGCGCCACTGCCGTCGCCGTTGCCCGTGTTCCACACCGTGATCTTGGGCTGGAGACCTTGGATGGCCTTTGCGTTGGCCAAGGCAAGCTTCTCGTAGACGTTCTCCTTCAGCATCATGTATTGAAGCAGGCCCTGAGGTCCGCCGAATGCGTCAGCCAACTCCCGGTACGCTTCCGCCTGGGCCTTGGTGGCTTCGGCTTCACGCATCTTGGCATGGTACATGGCGTCGGCCTCTTTCGTCTGGCGTTCGACGCTGGCTTGAATTTGACGTTGCTGCTTGAACAACTGGGCATCGGCATCCTGCTTTTCCGCGTAGGCCTTGGCATCAGCTTCCTTGGATGCTCGGTAGAGGCCTGCGTCGGCCTCTTGTTGGGTCGTCTCCTTTGAGATTTGGGCTCGGACGAGGTCTTTGGCGCGAAGACGTTCAAGCTCCGTAGCCGCCTTTTTCATCTCGACCTCTTTCTGCAGTTCAGAATCGCGGGCTTCGGCGGCTCTGCGGGCTTGGATTTGATTGATTTGAATGGTCATGTCCAGTTCGGTCTGCCGGTTGGTGAGCTCGGCGTCTGCTTGGGCCTTGTCGGCTGTAGTTCATGTGTCAGCTTTTTTGTCGTGTTGTTGTAGAGCAGAGTCAACTCACCTCTCCGCTTGGTCTCGAGCACCGCCGTCTCTGCTTCAATCTTGGAGATTTCCTGCTTTGTATGACCGCGTTTGGCAGCCTCGCCGATTTCACCTCGCATGCGAGCTTCGGCCACATCGATACGGGCTTGATTGGACGCTCCTTCGTGGGCTTTGCGAGAGAGAAAGGCAAAGTACTCGGAGCCTGGTGTGTCTTGAAGTTCCTTGACGTTGGCATTGTAGATGCGCAGACCAAACTGGTCCAACTCGTTCTGGACGTTCTCGATAACCTGCAACCCCCGTCAGTGCTGTGTTCAGTGGTCTCCATCAGATTCAAATCAGCGTTACCTTCTGCTTGAAGACCTGCCGCTCCTTGAAGATTTCCTCCATGGTCATGCTTGAGACAATGACACGCGTCTCTCCCTCAATGATACCTTTCACGATGTCTTGGACATGGCCTCTCTGAGTCGGCACAATGGCCTGGCCAGGTTTCCGGCCGGCGGAAGGGGTGCCATCTGGGTTCCCGCTGAGGAGCAATGCATACTTCTTGAGGGCTTCTGGCTTGTTATCTGGGCCGATGGTGAAGACGGCAGGCAGGGCGAACTGGAGCTTTTCGATGGTCATGGCCTGCAGGTTGAGTGAGAAGTCAAAGGGCGAAACGGAGATCCGAGCGACGCGCTGCCATGGGTAGACCAGGGCTTTCTTGACAATCCGCACGTCGTCGACGCCGGCGCCGGTGACGACGAGGTACTCATTGGCGTTTGAGATATGATACCACATGCCGGGCATATGGGTGATCGAACTGGTGTATCAGGAAGATGAGCTGGTACTGTGGGTAGGGGGGCAGGCTGAAGTAAATGATGAAGGAAGATGGTGACACAGAGATGCAAGCAAGTGGTACAAGGACTTTGTCACAGAGGGTTTTGTTTGGCCAGGGCGAGGAGAGAAGGAACAGGCTGACTGAACGAAGGTGAGAAGCAGGAATAAGTACTGAGGACCTCCATTGTAGAGACCACGGATCCGCGCAGATTGGTCCATGTTTGCTATTGCATGATCCTGCTCAAACATCAAGACCGAGGCTGTACCTGGTCCATAGGCAGGATCCATCCAGTCTGCCATGTACCGCCTAGGCTCTGTGTAGTGTTGGCATTTTCTACTGAAGTGGTCCTAAAGTTCAATGCAGGTGGAGGTATGAGGCAGAAGCGGAAGAGCAGGGGATCTTGGATGGTTGTCACGAGGACTGAATGCCGTTGTGCAGTGGTTTAACGGTGAACTAATCATATCCGAATACGGGACAAGAGTGGAGGGGGCGATATGAACGGATGAGTCAAGGCAGACCGGATGTTTGTTTGAGATACCTTGTAGGTGATGATACCAAGTACCAAGTAGTAGCAAAGTAGTAGCATGATGGGAGGGGGCGTGGAGGTGGAGGTGGTTGTGACACAGCGTTGTCTGGGCGCAGGCGCAGGCAGAGCAAGCGAACTACCTGGTTGCTTGGTTGCTTGGTTAGTTTCATCCAATGTGGTGAGGCTTTTCTGTCCACAACCCGCCCAAGTCTGCCTGATCACCAAACTTTGGCCCCAAAAGCATGTTAGTTTCCTGCCTCTTATGTAGGAAGCTCCTCCTCGCCTTCTAGAAGACAACGGTTGCGTTCTCGCTAATGCCGGGCATCCGTTTTGACTTCCACCTACGATATCCGCGAACCAGCGCTCACCGGTCAGTGCCGCTCGAAATAGCCCAAGTCGGCAAACGGCATCACATTCCCCCTCGAGCGAATTTACTGTCTCTGGGCAGTGACGATGAGGCTGATCTTGAATGCTAGCACATCCTCCCGTGTGACTCGGTTCCTTGTCCTCGGTATACCGATTACTCACTTGCTCGCTCTCTCGCTCTCTCCCTCTCTGAAAGAGCACGCCCCTCTACTGCAGACCGAGACTACCCAGATTCATTTGACCTCAATCTTGTGAAGACCGTCCTCATACAGGCATGTCCAAAGCGCCCTTCGAACGAGATCTCCATGATCGCATCCCTACCTATGAAGAGGCAGTCGCTGTCTCGCCCTATGCATCAGACCAGGACCCAAGACTGAGACCAGCGTCGAGCACATCTTTGATCCGACAGGAACGTACGCGACGTATCTACGAGCTAGTCGTAGAGTCTCTCATCCCCTGTTTTGCAACCCATGTGTCCAACTTATGCAACCACCTCACCATCGTTGTCGTCCCAGCGGACATGCTGAGGTCGACGGGAACTCTGACCCAACAGAACGTCGTTTCACCCTCATTGCCCAGTCACCAGACCACGGGGGTCATCATCACCCTGGTCGGAAGTGAGAACCACTCTTCCTTCTGGATGCAGCAAGCGGTGATAGAAGAACTGGATCTCATGCTTAGAAGGGAGCTCTCCAATCCATCCACAACCGAGACACGATCTGAGCGGCTGGATGAGAAACCTCAACCCCAGTTCCAATCGCAATTCCAAGTCCAACCAGCACCGGGAGCTTCATTACCGCCCCGACCCACCAAATCATCCTGGTTCAAGCGTGCCTTTGTTCTCCCCGGACCAGACCACGATCCGACAGGTGAGACGGGCAAGTGGAATCTTGGATGGCGCAGTCCCGAGCTGGCTGAATCAAGCAGCGGCGACAGTAATTCAACGTCCAAAAGACGAGAAGGGAACAGAACACTCCAGACAGACGAGGTGGCCGTGCATACAAGGTTACAGGATGTCAGTTTTCGAACAGAGAACGAAATGGGGCTTCTGGAGACCACCACAGTTAAGTGCATATGGATAGAAATCGAGGTTGGCCTATAAGCACTGTCTCGAGTATAAAACCATTAATAGACAGAACAGATCTTGAACCGTGGCTCTCCCTACAGCCAATAGGAAATTCGTAACCCGAGCTTCTCACTCTTTGTGTGCATAACTTTTTTGTTTTTTCAGATATTCGCCCTCGGGGACAACGGCTTGGAAGATTGCCCTCGCTTGTCGGCGAGTCATGGCACAAACACGGTCCTCTCCTTCTTCGCCGCCCACGCTGCCTCGGCTTCCTCCAATTTCCTCACCTTCAAGTCCATATCGGGTAGCTGGGCCACGGCTGCCAGCAGTCCCGGCAGCTCCTTTGCGTACTGCGACATGGCCCACGAGCCTGGGCCGGTGCCTCGCAGCGTGATGTTCTTACTCCGCAGGATGTCGCCGGGCAAGGCCATGTCGTTGCCAGCAACGGTGCCGATCTGGACAAACTGCGTGGGGACGGTGGATTTGAGCTGGGCGAAGAGGGCGGCCACGGCGGGACCGTAGAGATAGTCGAGGATCAGGTCCACGTCGGTCAGGGACGAGAAATCCGTCTGGCCGGGGTCGTTGGCCAGGACGATACGCTCGTCTAGGTCGGCGATCGCGGCCATCTCCTTTGCGTTCCTCGCCACGCCGATAATCTTCCCGGCGCCTTTGACCCGTGCGAACTGCACCGCGACTTTGGCGCTGATTGCTGTGACCCCCACAATCACCACGGTAAAACCTTTGGGTAAGGGCGGGTCGATGCGGGCGGCGAAGGCCATCCAGCTCGACATTCCCGGATTTGTCAGTCCAGCAATCGTGACGGGATCGGTACCTTCGGGAAGCGGCGTTGTGTTGGCCTTGGGCACGGTAATGGATTCGGCAAACGCACCGCCCGTCATGATGCTGTTGAAGTACACGCGTTGGCCATCAGGTGTCTCTCCGACACCGTCGGCGCCGGGGATGTAGGGTGTGGGCGTGTTCTTGGTGGTGTAGTGCCCACCCGTGGCTTGCAGACGGATTAATTGATGGAGGCCGCTGGCGAGGATCTTGAGAGTGACGGTGTCGGCGGACGAAGGTGAAGGGTCAGGGTGGGATGAGGTGAATTGAGGGGAAGAGCCCCAGGAAGACACTGTTATGGCACGCATATTCTATGCCTGGATGCTGGTGGTTTTGATTTAGATTGAGAACTCTTGCTGGTGGCAGTGCCTGTTCGATGTCCAGGCGGGTGAAGAGTGAGGGGCGGCGGGCGAGTGCCGAGTGTACGAAGGTAATGTGAACAGAAACCACCAACGAGACCGGGGAGATATTGTTTACTTATACCATTTGTATCCCTCCCAGCAATGTTCCTAGATACTTGCGAAGAGATTCGTAGTATGCGTAAATCTTTGATCATCAAATCTAGAGAAGAGCCGTGGTTCACCGAGTTCCGCGATTCGACCAAGTTCGTGGTTATGATGCAAGTCATGAGCCATCCACCCCCATCTTAGGTAATTTGCAACAATCTTGTCAAGGAGGCCCGGAGCCATGATAGGCCAGCTCGGTGCCGGCCGCTGGAAACGGAATCCATCTTCCACGTGCAGACTGGCGGGTTGCTGAATATGGCGCAGGCGCCTTTGTCATCAGCGGAACGACACCCTGTGGGTGCCTGGTGTGCCCGGATCGTGATTGATGAGCATCTAGTATCTTGAGGACATGAGGACGGCGGCAGTCAGGGAAGTATAGGGTTTCGGTGGTGGGGGACCGGGCTGATATGGTCAAAGTATGGCTATTCAGCGGCTGGGACAATACGAAGGGACAAGGAGATGGGACTTGGTGGGTGAAGATGAGTACAAACTACCTCAGGTGGGCTTCACATACTGCTTTGATACATTTCCAGGGTTGGTGAAAGGGTCGACACTCTCTTCAGTGTCTAACCAGACCTTTGCTGTGGACGACCTTCGAGCCCGGAAAGTCAGGTAGGCCTTCTGTTGCCCTTACCATATCGGGCATGTTAGCCGAATGATTTCCACCTTACCTTGCCTAATAGATTCAATCAAGTTATTCAACTTACACCTTTGAGAGCCAGAAAGGTGAGGTAGGCCTTTGAGAGCCAGGAAAGTGAGGTAGGCCTTCGAGCCAGGAAGGTGAGGTACGCCTTCGTCCGCTGATTGATGCGATCAGGGTACTCCATACTATCAACGCTTTCGTGGCAACAGCCTCGTAAACCAATGGTCTAGTTAGTCCTCTTGGACTCCATCCTCGTAAGGCCGCCGGTCTCAACGCCTGATTTCATCATGTCAGTTATGTACCCGATACATCTCTGAACTACGGTGCTTCGGAACCATAGATCTTGATCAATTAGCCTCAGTATGGCTGCCTCGGCAGCGCGTACAGCAACCATTTCCTCGAGCCTATTTAGCCAGTCATCTTGGTTCCATTAGAAGCTTAAGAAAGTAGACGCATACTCCCAGTAGCTGCGATACCAACCAGCAATTTCCTAGCCCATAATCGATATACGAAAATCCCTGCCCTGCGTTGTACCATCCTGCACTGTGTCGACAATGATATTCTTTCGCTGAACATCTGAGTGGCAGAAGGTGGGTGAATGATCGTCAAGCGCTGGGGCTAGATGCACCTCGAAGAACTCTGCCTAAGATGGATTTCTTCTATTCATCACCGAAATTACTCGCGACCTTTTCGCCAGGCCAATGATCATCTTGCGTCCTAGGTGGATGGCCCAGTAGTTGTTGGGTCACCATCTGAATTCCAAAATAGATGATAGGGGACCGGCCCTCGATGGATACTACCAGAGCATCCGGACGACGGTAAAGAGTGGAGTGATTCAAAAATCTCTCGAAGCCTGTCACTGATTTGTACTTTGTCCCTCTCTCCTAGTGTTGGCCATAACTCGTTCAACGGGATACGTCCATGACAATGAAGAAAGCGGCATTAGCACTATCCGAATGCCACATTGCATAGAGGTTCGGAGTAGTGATGTGAGGGGCATTTCTCTCAAGGAAGAGCAGATTCTCTCCCTCCAATTGACACAGGTACTTTCCATACTCGATCGCGTATGGACCGATCACAGCCACTTTGTGAACTGAGAAGGGTTCGTTCCCGTGAATGACGTTTGGGCAATTGCGAATTTGGCCTTCGCTCGGTAGAGAAGCAGGTAGGTTCTCCGAGTCCATTTGGGACGGGATGTCCGCTTTGCGGTCCATCTAAATCTCAGGAAGTGATCTGGATTTGGCGTCTTGGTACCAGTGACCACCCCGTGATCCCCGTGACCCTCGTGACCCGCTGAGCCCCTGCCAAGTCGTGCCAAGAAGACGTTGCACAGGAGACATTCGACGTCATCGTGCCTAATGCCCGATGCTTCATGCCTCAGGTGGTCGTGTCGCAGCCTCTTCCCCACTTGTTCACATCTCTGGAGCCTGCACTACTCGTCTCGTCGCGTTGACCGAGTAAACAAAGCCTGTCACACTGGTATACTTCCCAGGTTCACAGATCCCATACCTGGAAAAAAAAAACAGGACGAACAATATGCCGCCCTCTCAAATCCAGATCGCAACCTCGTCGCTTCAGCGGTTGCTGAAGGAGGAAGCCTCCTATTACAAGGAGCAGGAGCAGCAAGAGGCACGGATTTACAAGCTGGAGAACGAAGCTAATGGGAGTGATGAGAATCATGACTTTAAACTCAGACAAGAGGTGTGTCCATTGACCGCGCGTATTCATGCAGCCACGAAAAATGATCTGGGAATATTGAACATTTTCTGCTGCTCGGTGCCGAGGCTGACCACTCCTGGACCCTGTCCTACAGCGCAAAGCACTCGAAGAAACCAAGATAGTGATCCCGACGCTGCGCGATCGCATCACAAACGCCAGGGAAAAGCTTGAGAACCTCCTGGTGAGTCTCCAATACTCGTCGGGCGGTACATGCCATGAGATTTGGCTGACGGCAGGGTGTCTTTCGTGGCGTGTAGGATACAGCTACAAACGAAGACGAACGGAACGCTGCGGTTGAAGTACTCAAGGCGGCAAAGGAAGCGCAGAAGGATGATCCAATCGCTGGGGAGGAGAGGACCATGTCGTGATCTACAGTGTCGTTCTCTCCAAGACCCTGAGGGCGAGGCATGACGACGAGAACGAAATGCGAATACGGCGAGGCTAGGTAAAAGCGCACTGCGGTATGATCGGGACCTAAGTTCGATGATCGAATGATGTGAGCATTGGAGCATCACTTTCACCACTACCTTCCAAATGGGAAAAGTCCTCATGTTTTCTGGACATAAGACACAGTAGGCTTGATGCCTGCTTCTTTGCTTTCAATTCTGAAGCGTGATCCGCCTCCAGCAGTCAGAGCACACGAGATTGCCGGACTGCCCGTGGGTGTTGATCTAATGGCACCTAGCCACCAGGTAGCAAGATATTGAAAGGCTCACTGAACCCTTGAATCCTCGCTTGCTGCAGAGTTCCAAGATCGTCATCGGGTGATGGTTCTCTCGCGACTAGTTCCATAGCAGCGCGAGGATCTTCGTCATCACTGCCAGACCCAGATATAGGTCCAGTGATTGTACAGGGAATGCTCCAGCTGCGAAGTCGGTCAAGGACCAGTTCCGGGACGCATTCGAGCCGGAATCCTTCTCGACCCTGAAGACAAATGTTGTCGATCGCGGTCGCTGTATACCTGCTTGGCAGATGCGAGGCCTTTCGTGTCTGCACCTGCAACGGTTTGCTGGCGAATAGTCCTTGCAACTCGGCTAAGTTGTGTCCATGTCGTCTGTAGCGTTCTCAAGAGCTGTGCCTGCGGCGTCCTTGACACTGCCGGCCCCCGCGAAAGACAACCCTGCGTTTCCATGCATATCAACGTCCTCGTCGGCCCGCTGCGGCGTAGCCCCTCCTCCGGTACCAGGTCCATCTAGCGGATTCGACCGAGGTGTCAGCACGCCGCTTCCTCTGAGCCCAGCTGGCAAGGGCGTTGGCGCGTCATCTATAGGTCTGGGTGTCCCAACCGTAGAGAGCCCGTCTCTTTCCCTCTCCCCTTCGTCACCCTCTCTTTCCCGCTCTTGGTCTGCGTCATCCTTGTCGCCATCTGGGTCTGACTCTTTCTCGTCTCTAATCACCCTCCGCAGCCTCGTTCCCTCGTGCATGACTCGTTCAAACTGCTCCCTTCTCTCGGCCCAAGCGACCTTCAACTCCGTGCTTTCACGTTCCAACTCCTCGATTTCGGCCTTGAGTTTTTCGAGATTCATATGTTGTTCGGCTCTCGTGACTTTCAATTTTTCATCTCGGGTGATCTTCTCCGCTAGCACATCATAGGTTTTTCGAACCGCTAGAGTCTTCTGCGCCTCATCAAGTTGTACTCTCAGATGTGACAAGTTCTCTCGCACATCGTTGGCAGTTTGTTCAATCTTGAGCTTTTCAGAGGCATAGCGGTCGCGCTCGCGGGTGTTTGCAGCGCGGAGGAATCCTGTGCGGGCGATAGCGGATTCAAAGGCTGCGAAGTCGAGGATCACGTCCTCGCGAAAGCGTGTCAAGGATTGGAGGAAGTTCTCATGTTCGTCCCCAGACAGTTCTGCGGTCGCTGCGTCGTCGTCTGACGGGCTCAGTCGCGACAAGAAAGAGGTTATAGGAGTAGTGGGGGCAAGAAGGCGTTTAGATACCCGTTTGAAGGGCCGCTCTTCGATACCTAGAAGCCGCGTCGCATGGAGTTTGTCTGCAAGACGTAGTCAGAACTTTTGTGCTTGTTGAGTTGGAAACAGACATCCTTACCTTCCTCAGCTTGGTCTAAAACTGTAAAAATCGCCATACCCTCTTATTCTTGGAAAGTCCTTGGTATCGTGGTTATGGATTAAAGCCGTGTTCGTCGCCTTTGGGTTCAAACAAGTGGTGAATGGAGAGTGGTGAAGGGAGCGCGTGAGGCTGAACTACGCCGCATGCGGAAACTGCAAGGCTGTCACTCGAGCGGAAGTTGCGCTTGTTCCGACCCCACGATTCACTCGTGGTGCTCTGTTACAGGGTGAGGACTTCAGCTCAAAGTCACATCTGTGACATACTCGGTGACATGATATAGACCTCCCTTCCCCTCCATCTTTCGCATGTCCTTCTTCTTCCACGTCTCCGAGGACTGGCCTGCTCCCACCAGCTGACCACGGATCAGCCATCACCATGCCTGTCGACAGCCTGCTTGACATGGCTCGCCGGGCCTGTGTCCGCAATGTGCACCGGATAACAGACATTGGCGATATCGACTATGACCTGATTAGACCCATACTGCTCAAGATTGAGAGCCCTGAGAAACTGGTAAGTCCCGCCCTGCACATTCGGTTGTGTGTGTCCCATACCTCCACCCCCGTATAGTTCTTGAGGCCTGTCAACGTACTGATCAGCCACCTATAGCACCAACTCGAGCTCTCGTCTCCGCAAATCATCGGTCACGACGCCGAGATCTGGCTCAACTTCATCAAGCGAGACATTCCCGACTGGGATCTGAAGCGCCATGAACCGTCCAACCCGAAGAACTGGTACAAAGTGTACAAGAAGCTGAAGGCAGAGGCAACTAAGGATTCCTCGAACGACGAAGCTATGTTGAAAGCCGCGTTGGCGGATATTCAAAAGGGCAAAGAGCAGAACACAGCGGTGATTGCAAGCACTGCCCTCAGTGCGGGCCTACTTTCGAGCAGCAATGCTCCTGGGCCTTCGCGAAGAGCCAGGATTCAGTGGAACTATATATCGGGTAAGACGGGCGCGAAGGGCTCCAGTAAAATGACCTTGATGGAGAAGATTCGCAAGGAAGCCAGGGATGCAAAAGCTGGCAAAATGAACCGACCGATGCACGAGCTACAGAAGAAGCAGACGGGGGTGGTTAAAGCGCCGGCGCAATTCGTTGAGGAGGTGAAGAAGATGAAGATCGTGCAGGCGACCGAGGCCAAGAAGGCTCTGAGTCCGCCGCTCAAAAGACCCGTGTCGGGGATTGGCGCATCTGGTAATGCGGGATCATCGAGGCCGCCGATGTTTGCTCCCTCCACGCAAATACCGAAACCGAGACCTCAGCCTGCCGTTGCCGGTGGTGGAAAGCCATATGATCTGACGAGCGACAGAGAGTCAAGATTACGGGCTTTGAAGTCGGGAAGACCAATCAGCAGGGTCGATCCGGAACCGTACGAGACTTCTCAAGCCCAAGCCTCGACCTCGAATTCAGCGAGGGACTTACAGTCTCCGCCCAATGGTGTACAGCGGAATTCTCAAAAGCGGAAGAACGGGACAGTCCCTGGAAATTCGCGAGGAGTTGAGGATACAAATGGCAGCTTGACCCTCGATTTCCTCGAAGACTCGGATGGTGATGACATCCAGGACCAGCCACGAAGAAGACGAGAGTCGGTAGAGAACAAAGTGGAAACGCCGCGGAAGCTACTGAACCCGAACAATGCCCTTGCCAGCGAACTCCCGCCCCGTTCGCGGAGCCCGCTGAAGCTCTCCCCGGCACCGGGATCTCGGGCACTGGGTTCGCAATCGGTGAAAAGAAAATATGAAGCACCAAACCTCTTTTACACAGCCCCCAATAAACGACCCAAACCAGTATGATGGGGTGTGCGTGAGGGATTAGAACGATGACGATAGAATTTGAAGACTGAAGACCGGACATTACAACTGCGAAGAAGCAATTACTAACCAGGTTGGGACATCATATTTCGGGAAAGGAAGAAGAAGAGGCACGGCACCCATCTGGAATTGAATATTCGAGCAGCAGAATCAAACACATCTTTACGCGCGCATTGCATGAACGGGTCTATCAATGTCTTCAATGTTACCAACAATGATATGTGAATACTTATGTAGGCACCTAGGTAGGCGGCACCTACGAGTAGGTACGTGGCGATATACGATATACGGGACACGAGGTACTCTGACTGACCGAGATGAGGTGAAATGAAAAGAGATGAAATGAGATGCTGATTTTCTGAGTTTCTGTTCTTGTGTATCTCTTTGTCATTGTCAAACCGCAAACTGACTGCCCTATCCTTGTGGCGATTTTGTCTGGTCGCCTTGAGTTGGTTACGTTTCGTTTCGTTTCATCCCCGTGTCAAATAGTGTCAGTGCCAGAGTTAGAGTCAATGTCTCAAGTCTCAAGTCTGAAGTCGAAGCATGGGCCATTGTGTGTCATGTCCATGTCCATGGCTGGTTATTTCGTTCCATGGCTTTCATGGCTCGTGCCATCTCACGCCACTTTGATCCTTCTTCATTGTGACTGACTTGCACATCCTCTCCGACGATCGCGCGACACATTCTCCCTCGCCGCCACCATTGCCCTCGCTCATCTGCCTTGTGAGCATGCACACGCACAAGCATGCACACCCGTCGCCAACCCTACCCTCTTCCACCCCGAGAGTGCTGTCGCCGTCACAGTCGCCGTCACCTCCCCCCTCTCAGCGCCAGCACCAAGTGTAACGTATTTCCACCTTCGAGACCATAATCTTCGGCGGTTTTCTCGTCGGCCCTGTTTACCACACGGGAGTATTCACTTAGCAGATTGCCCACACCAGCACTTCGGGGTGACATTGTATTGGAGATCCAGCTCAACCCAACCTGCCCATCCGACCCCGAATACTTCTCACTCACGCCAACATGTTTTCCTCCTCTGGAAGAAGAGAGAAGGGAAAGGAAAGGAAAGGGAAGAGGGATAATAGAATGTCAGAAGACGTACATCTGTTTTCCGCCGTAGATCAACCGCTGCTGGACGGGCGGGATGCCTTCTTTCTCCTCGACGCGCTCTTTGATCCGGTAGACCTGTTTCAATGCCGCAGGGACATCATCTGTCAGAACTTGTGATACTTTCACTCAAAACCGCCGCGACTTGTCAGAGTTGCAGTCCACCTCTTTTCAGGTTTCAGATCCCAGTCTCCTGTTCTGCTCCCACTTATGTGCATGCGTAGGTGGTAAAGGTAGTGAAGGTGACGGAGAGGAGTGTCCATTGAGGACTATGCTTCGCGCGAGAGAGAGATGGGTAGGCACACCTTGTAATCCGGCTCGATATCCAGCTCGATCTCCTTTCCCGTCAACGTTCGCACCCTGTTTTCACAAAAATCGTCCAGTCGTCAGTCTCGTCTCGTCATCCATCGTGTAACACTGTAGTAGAGCTTCCCGCCGCAAACGAAAAAGTTTCGTGTTTCAGGGGAAAGACAGGGGAGGGGAGGGAAGGGTTGTGCATTACTTGATCAGCATGTTTGCGTCGTGCCCGAGCCGCAGCAGAAAGTCGGAATTCGAAAGGGAAACGAACAGACGCTGGCCGCGGAGGAAGTGGGGTTGTGGTTTCTGAGGGTGACACAGATAGTGAGGGTATTCAAGGTCTTCGCCGCTAGAGGGAAACGAGTTATCAATGGCACGGACGAAGAAAGAGCTTGGCTAAATGCGAGGACCGCCGGGGTGTTTGGAGGGTAGAAAGAGTTCAAGTGACTTGTTGATGAAGTGGGTGAGTGGGCGAGGCCGCAGCCTTACGGATAAAGATGGCGGGGCTCGCCAGGCTGCTTGTTTACATAATCGATATCAATCCTCAGCCTTGCCTCCTCGCTACAAGAGACCCGACGGCGCAGACTGAAAGTAACAGGTCAATTTGCATTGTGACATCGCCAAGCACACAGAGGCTTCATACAGTAAGATACTCGCTTGAACGCCCCAGAATACAAACAAATGTGGGGGTATGTGACAGACATATAGGTACAGATCAAGCAAAAGCTTCCTCCCTCAGGTTCTTGCCCATCCATCCCATGCTTTTGCCAACAAATTCCTTTTGGCACATCCAATCCCACGCCCTGAGTCAAAGAGAACGCCATCTCCCATTTGCCAGAAAAGGGAATGGAATGGTTTCGAACCAGTAAAAACGATATCCCAAGCTGGTGCTGGATTTCGTCCTGTAATCCACTGCTTGCGCAGAAAACTGATTCTTTCTTTTTTTTCCATCATTGTCACTTGTACACATTATGACTAAAAATCGTCTTTGGATGGGTCAATGTTTGGGAACGCATCGTGAGTGAAGGGAGACCTCAGAACCCGCGCCACGGATCTCTCGATTCGTAGCTCCCTCGTGTGGAGGAGCTTGCTGCCATCATCTCACTGTGCAGCAATGAGTCCACGGGGCTGATGCTCTCTCTTCCTTGTTCTGCGCCCCAGTAGCCCATGTCCTTTCTTTTGGGTTGCCCTGATCGCATAAAATTGAAAGACGGCCGACCTGAGGATGTGCCTTGCTCGTGTTCAATGAAGGCGTCCATCCTCATGGTCGTAGTTTGGTTGTTATCCATAAAGGTCGGAAGGGGAGGCCTGCCTGAAGCACTGGCCTCACTGCCTCTTCGGCTGCTAATCACGCTTTGCATTCCCAAGCTGGGCGTATATAAGCCACGGTCGGAGGAATAAACCGCCGTGGAATGAACACTTTGCGAATAATTGGATCCCGGTCCGGGTAGACTTGGGGTTACACCATTTGTGGAGAAGCTCCTGAAAGAGCTGGGTGGCGCTCGAGGCGCTGTATTGCTTCGCTTTCGAGAGTGGCGAGGAATTGTTGGTGGTAGAGCAGGATCCGTCAAGGGATCATAGTAATCGCGAGTAGGGGGTCGCGAGTCATGTACGGGCACCGATCCATCGGTCGTGAAAGACCTCGTGCCGGCAGCTGACTTAGCAACGCCTTTCGTCAATCGAATAGAGTCTCGAATTGGTCGCCTGCGAAGTGATCCGGCAAGTGACGGTGCTGGAGCAGGCGACACATCGTGTTCCGGAAGCGGAGGCGGTGGTGGGATGGCGGTGAGATCGTTGACGCTGAGAGGAGAGTGCGATAGGAACGACAACGCCGTCAACCATATATAATGTCGTTCCTGAGATGTCGCTGTGAACTTTAGGGCACGCTGAGGTGTCAAGATAAGAATGGACCTGTTGAAGCTTGCTCCAGTTAATGCCCCTTTGGGCATCGGATTGTCATCCTTGACATCGAGGACGGACTTGATCATTACTGGTTGACAGTTAGCTTTCGGACAAGCACTCTTCATAATGGAGAACTCACGTTTTCGACCACTCTTGCCCATCAAGGCGGTCCCAGACGTTGGCTGCTTGCTGCTCCACATGACCGCACGCTCATAAGGCGCAAGCCAAACCCATCGTTTGTGACGGACGCCGTTGTTGGTCACACTCTGAGAGATCTCCTCGACACTCTTATTGGCATCCCAATCCGCCTTCTCTGTCACCCCGAACGATTTTCGTCTCCTTACATATTTGTACATCCATTCTCCGACCATGGTTTGAGCAATAGAATCCACCACCGATGTCTGCTGCATTGATAGCACGTCAGAATTCTGTTTGGTGTGACTGCGCTGTCGACTAGGGCCCGTTGCAATTGACGGCCGAGGAGCGCTTGCTTCCCGCGGATTGCTGTATGGCTCAATCACGGGTGCCGGTGTCGTTGTAGGCATCTGGAAACTTGGCATCTCCGGGACAATCGAGACTCTTGGTTCCAGGGGCGGTGATCGACTGCGTGATTTGCGAGCTTGCGAGTGAGGTGAAATGGCTGGTCCTGATCTCGCCTTTCGCAACATCGGTTTGGCGAATTTGCTGTTCCTTGGTCGTTTGGTTGGTGACGCGTTGCTGCTGCCGGGTGAACTTCTTCCACCTTCACTGATGGATTTGCCCACCTTGGCTGAGCTATACCGCAAGGGAACGGGGAAGGGAGGTGGGTTGTTGCTCTCCAGAGAGCCGGTGGTGGATTGGGAGTGTGATGACTGGTGCGCAGCGGCTCCACTCGATATCAAGGCAGCTCTTCTCATGTTGTTGGACCTGGCCGATGGGACCCTCTTCAGTTTCAGGCCCATGTTCTGGCGTTGGGACCCTCTGCGTGGGCTGGTCCGAGTCTGGAAGAGAATTGCCTTCATCTCTGGAGGTAGACTGTCTTCGGAAAGTCGGAGATTTTCCAATGCAGCCGCCTCGCCTGCAGATACCGCTGCACTCTCACTGACGTCGTCCAATCGCAGGTCCTGGGAGACCAGTTTTCCAGATTTGAGAACAAATTTCGCGGTTGGGCGACTGAAGATATCGTCTTCTTCGAAGGTATCTTCTTCGATATAATCATCCCGATTTTCAGCGTCGTCATCGAATCCGGCAAAAAGACTACTTGATCTGACGGGCCGTGGCATATTTGAAGCAAAGTCTCTCGTGAGAGGTCCATTGTCGTTCAAAGGAGGTATCTTGGAGGGCCCAGCAATAGCCGAACGCCTCGACGCAAACATCGAACTACCAGGAGATACTCTGCTGCGAGGGATAGGAGGCGGCACGGCCCTGGATGAAATTGGTGGCCTGTAATGGCTCGACAATGGAGCAGGAGGCATCTCGGAGGGTGGAACAATGGCTCGTATGTCAACTCGAATTTCTTCCGTCTGCATAGAAGAAGACTTGTATCCTCCAAGTAAGTGATTGGCAACCTGGGTACTTGCATTCTTGGTTCGGGGTGGTAGCATAACACTAGTTTCGGGTGTGGCAGGTCTGGATGCGGGAGGGATGATGGCAATCAGGGGAACCTTCAGATCGAGAGTCTCCTCGCTCCCAGTGTG